AGGACCATCATCCCTCTATCTATGGCAACCTAGAAAAGAAGTAGAAGAAAATTATTATGTGAAGGTTACTTTTTCCACACAATTTGTAGGGAATATATGTAAGTTGCCTCATTAGGTAAGATGTTATTACAAAAGAAACTAAAGTTTCTTCATTTTTCGACTAATTAGTAATAATAGGGTTCAAATTTTGAATAATGTCGCCTTACAATACATGTACTTACCATACAACCATATTGCAACATTTTGTCAACATCACGTATGTGTAGTATTACCAGCTTTTTTTTTCAGGTAATTTTTTATAATAAATATTTCATTTTTTTTTAAATCTGTAAGTGTAAGGGTAAGTAATGTGGCCCTTCAATAATAAAAAAAATGTAGGGTCTGTTGAACACTTGCATCGAGACATGTGATAGATTATTTTGGAGGCGGGCTATCTACACATATAGAACCATCTATCTACACATATATAGAACCATCTATCTACACATATATATAGAACCATCTATCTACACATATATTATACATGCGCTCAATGATATTTCTCCCAGCAGAAAGACCAAGATACTAGATTGAAAAAATCCTCCCCACCCGAGAATTGAACTCAGGTCTCCAACATGCGAGGACAATTGGCTTACCCACAACACCACAGACAGTGGTCTGTATCGTGGTGAGGATGGGCAAAAAATGAAAATGCTGATTTGTGCGTGTGTTCTTGGAAAAAATATAAAAATGTACTTGTTGATTTGTCTGTTATCTTCAGTGTTGTCGTTTCGTTTTGTTTTTGGTTTGTTGCTGGTGTTATTCTTTGTTGTTCAGTTTTGACTTTGTAAACAGTTTTGACTGCTATGCCCATGTTCCCTTCAACTCTATTGGTAGACTCTTCCGGCCTCACTTTAAGCTTACTTTTAAATCAAAGCTTGTGACTGCTTATGGAGTGGCCCGATAGGGGCGAACAGGCTATTTATGTGGCAACGAAACGGTTTTGAAGGTTAGGCATATTCTATTGTTCATTGGTGATTATGAACGTCTTTTTTTAATTTATGAGGTTTACGTCTATGGGTGAATTTGACTGCGACAATGTTTCAAAATTAGGAAGGGAAGCAGTGATTATTTGATTATATAGACGCTTCGCCTCTGAGGACAGGGTAGGCCTAGCCTACATGATTGTATAGATCTACGATTTTGAACATAATAGCATAGCTTGCTTATAACTATAATTAATAAGGAAAATAACAATGTTAGGTAAATAGATCTGTATACATGTAGTTGACTCAACTTTATTAAAAAAACAAACAACAGATTTAAGTGGGTGGTTGGCGGGTGCTCTAGTGTGGTTTGCTTCTTCTTTCCTATCAGTATCAAATATCTATCGTCTTTATCTCCCCTCCTTTTTTTTTTGTTTTGTTTTTATTTATTACTTTCTTGTAACACCTCTAATCTTCGGCACTTAAAATATGACCTTAGGGCGAAAACATAGAGAACGCCGATTTCGGAGACTGACTCAGTAAGCGCCGATAGGTATAAAAATTCTCTTATGATTTCCAACTTGCCCCACATAGAGCTGGCCGACTGCAGGCGGCTTTAAACTCGGATCGGAGTTGTCGGCTTTATCGGAATCCAAACTACATTCTTATTACGCCGAAAAACTGGGAAGGGCGTCTCGCTGTCAACTCACCACCGTAGTGCTTTCTTGTCGTATTTCCATTTTTTAACAGTGAAAATGAGACTTCTTCTTTAACTCACATTTTGTTATGAACTGTTTTCACTGTTATTAAAAATGGAGGTACGACAAGAAAGCACCGAGGTCGCGAACTCCCAATACCGTCTCGCTGTCTCGCCGTCGCCAACTCGGGTTCAGCGGTTTGTGTGATGTCACCCGACTGGACTGGGGACAATTCTAAATGGTCATTTCAGAGCTGGTGCTTCACGGTAGACAAAAACTAATTACATTTTTTAAATCAGCATCGTCAAAATAGGGTGGTCACCGGGCAGAATTGCATTTTAAGCAATATTTAAGAAAATTCGTGTTTCCCCCCAAAAAATATTATGCTTCATGAATACCAGCTGTGTTGTGGTGTAATTAATTTTTTTTTTCTAGATCTAGATATCTCGGCTTTACTGTGTCAATAGAGTGTGATTTTGAAGAGACGAAGCCTGTGTAGTTTTTTCGTTGTGCGTCTAGAGATCTGCTTATCTGGCTGTGTCGTGTCTTGTCAAAATGGATGTCGATTTACAATAATAATAATAATAATAATAATAATAATAATAATAATAATAATAATAATAATGAAGATCATTTCTATAGCGCCCACTCCCGTGTAAACACAGCTCTAGGCGCTTTACATAAAAATACATGTACGAACAATATTCACGCACGCGACACAAACACAAAAATACACCCACTCATACACACACACAAACACACACAAACACACACACATACACACATACACACACACAAACACACAGACATACACACTCATGAACACATAACACGCACACATGTGCACACACATGTACGCCAAACACACACACACACACACACACACACACACACACACACACACACACACACACGCACACACGCATCTACTTGCTTATCACACGCGCACGCTTACACATCGTCACGAAATGAGCATATAATCTACACAATGCAATTCACAAAATACATAACTGGATACATATTCATTTACATAACATTGTATTGAACCTGAATCTACAGACAAAAAAAGATGTCTTTAAATGTGTCTTTAAAGATTTTTAAAAATTTAGACTCAGATGTTGTATGTCTCAAGGGTTGGGGAAGAGAGTTCCAATCTGACGGAGCAAGGAGGGCGAACGATCTTTCAGCTAATTTTTTACCCCCTTTTCAAGGAACTCTTAAAAGATACTGATCGCCTGATCTTAGTGATCTAGATGGAACATACATCTGGATGCGATCACTAAGATATGAGAGAGCTTTGTTATTGACACATTTATGACATAATATTGCAATTTTATATGACATTCTACCGGACACTCCTCTCTCTCTCCCTCCCTTTCTCTCCCTCCCTCTCCCTCCCTCTCACCCTCTCCCTCCCTCTCACCTTCTCCCTCCCTCCCTCCCTCTCCCCCTCTCTCTCTTCCTCTCTCTCTTTCCCCCTCTCTCCCCCTCTCCCCCCTCTCCTCCTCTCCCCCTCCCCCTCTCAGATGACGAGTCCATTCTTGTAAATTTGTAATCACTCAAGACCTAGAACTAGATTCTAGATACGGTAGTTGTAGGCAGACTAGACAACAGTAGATCAATGCAACGCGAGCTTAAAGGGATCGGCAATAGGCGCTCTCTATGTGGAGTCAAAGTCAAGCAGACACCTACTGGCGCCTGTCCGAGTCGATCTTCAGCCGCTTAAGTTTCGGCTTTCTTTATGTTATCGCCCTTATTGTGGTGCAAGTGCCGTAAAACTTTTAAAAAGTATTCTAAAAAAGATTTAAATTATTTTGCGCGTTTGTGTGAAGGACATTATTTTGTGAACAATGTTTTTTGCCTCTTTCATGGGGTACATCCGCTATTCCCCATTCTACGAACTTCCGGTATATTTTACTAAGGAATTGTTGGAAAAATCTTTGAGCGGATGTAGGCCTAGTCAGTCGCCATTTTGGTCGCCATTTTGCTCTTGGTTGCGAGTTGCAAAAGCTGTCTGATGTTTGAAGTGTATTGACGCACTGCATTTGGTTTGAGACGATTTGCAAGTTACCCAGAACTATTGTTTGGCTGTCGAGTCGCTTTTCTGAAGATTTCACGTCGATCTTTAGATCTAGTGTCTTTGTCTTCCAGAGATCCATTCGTTCCTGAGCTGAAGGAGAAGAGTCCTGCCCTCTCGATCTCTTTGTCTTTGCCGCCGCCATGGGGAATTCTTCGTCTCTTTTCACCGCTGAATCGCTACTTCGTCTAGGTGAGCGTCTTGACTTGGAGGAAGGCCAGTTCTATGGCCTGGAAGGAGAGTACATGTTCTGTGGATTAGAGGTGAGAAGGGACACTTACTTAGTCGGTGTGGATTGTGAAGGAAACCGGTATTTGATTGAGGTAGATAAAGCTAGAGATAATCAAGGTGACCCAGTTGTCAATAGATTGGCCGCTGGAGGGCAGGAATGGTACAGGGACTGGTTGAGGCGGGTGGCTGGAAGAGAGGTGAGGTGGATTAGTGGACCTAGGAGTGGAGAGGTGATAGTTCTCTATGATGTTCTGTGGAGGAAACCGATGAAGGGATAGGACAAGATGGTGGCTAAATGATAAGATCACTGAGTCTGAGTGATGGACTTCTGTACTGTATTGTAGTCTGTGTGGCAAGTGTGTGTTTGTCTGGGTCCGTGTGTTGTTTAAGTTTTATTCTATTCTAGCGATGTGTGTGTATGGTTTTAGGATTGTATTTTTGACTTTTGCCCATCTAGATCTAGATCTAGATCTAGTGTATTAACATGCATGTCTGAAGTCCAGAGTCAGACTGTTCACTTTTAATGGTTTTTGTGGGGATCTCTCTCTCTCTCTCTCTCTCTCTCTCTCTCTCTCTCTCTCTCTCTCTCTCTCTCTCTCTCTCCCTCTCTCTCGCTCGCGCTCTTCCTCTCTCTCTCTCTCTCTGTGTCTCTCTCTCCTCCCCCTTTCCCCTCCTTCCTCCTCTCTCTACTCTCTCCCCCCCCCTCTCTCTCTCTCTCTCTCTCTCTCTCTATCTCTCTCCCTCTCTCTCTCTCAGGGAATTGGCTTGTCCATGACTTGGATTGGAACCTGCAGACATTTTTTTCTGTTTTTGTTGTAGAAAGTGTGGATGAGTGTGTTGTTAAGTTACTGTGTTCATCATTTTTAAATAGGTAAATGTTTGAGTTTATAATTCATTAGATAAAGGTAAGACGCCATATATAGTATAACCGGTAATTTGTGGTAGGAGGTGCGCCAGTCTCAATAGGATTCACCTTCTTTACAACCCGCTAACACCGACCCTTTGTTTGTCTCTTGTCATATATTATAGCCAGTCAAGTAGGTGTTTCATCGCTGATCATCAGTTTTATTAGTTGTAGCAACGGAAAAAGACAATTACTATTTTTAGGGGAAGAGGAGGGAGAAAAAGTCAGCTGTAGGAATTGATAAGGGAGGATATCCGTAACAAACGACCACAAGTATGAGACAGAGTAGTAGAATAGACGGCTAGGGTGGGAGTAGGGTTAGGGGTTGGTCTCTTCTTTGTTGTGTTTGTTGAGGTGGTCACTCGTTTCAGAAGTCCTTCCATTGATAATGAGGAAAGCTGAGATAGATTTAACAGTGGGAGTTGTGTTGTTTTTTAGTTTTCTTATTTAATTTATAAGCTTGTTTGTGAGGCTGGTGCTTTGAAAGGCATGGGGTGGTGGGGCTATTCAGTCTGAAGAGGAAACTGGGTAGGAGGGGTTGGGTGTCAAAGGGGAAATGACGCTCAATCCCTCATAGTCGGTGAAGTCGAAGACGTTAGTCTCAGAGAGCCAGGTAACAACGATAGCGGCAGCTCATTTTTGGGACAGGGCAGTTTTTGAAGGAGTTGAGGGAAAAGGGTGGAACACATCTACGGGCCACATGAAATTGAATATTTTTGTATTTTTTTGAGTAGTTGATTTGAAAAAGGTGTTCTAGTTTTAAGAATGTGGGCTGTTGTGGCTGAAATTCTGATATTGTTATCAAATATGACAGTTCAGGGGTCAAGGGGGAACTGACCTTTGACCTTTCATATTGGGTTTCAGTTTTGGAAGGCAAGGGAATCCAGAATGCCTGTATTTGGTGTGACGGGGTAGGGTAGTGGGCCGATCTTTTTCGTTTCAAATGATGACAGTTTTAAATTTTGTGTAAAGGCTTGATGATAGAGATTTTTGGTTTACTTGGCTGGCCATAGTGTAGAGACAAATGTGTATATATATATATATATATGTGTGTGTGTTGTTGTTTTCCATGGTCCATGCCCCTAGAGTAGATCCCCATTAACATAGTCACCAGTAGATGAGACTGAGCGCACATATTTTGGCCTATTTTTTTGTCTGGTGACGATTAACTAAATTTGGATTGCTCCACTAGGGAGTGGGAATGTGGGAAAGTGCCCGCCTCGTGACTCTTTGGGAGCAGAGGATGTTAGGATATAAAATACTTTAAGCTAACAATAATGTTATGGTACTGTCGTAGTTCGAGTTCTGTGTGTTTGCGATTTTGTGTTGTCTAGCATTTGTAAGGTGTTGTTTGCGTTGTGTTTACTGTTATTTTGTTCTTAGTACTGTGTACCTACTAACTTTCTTCCCCTGGTTGTACTGATTATTATTCATGATGGCGTTCTTATAATAATAGATTCTAGATCTATGCTAGGAACGGGCACGGGACAAAATTATAGATTAAAAAATTATTTTGCTTCCATGTTGGCAGCGACCAGTAAAGTAGACAAGCTTCATTTCAACAGTTGTTTGCTTATTTCATGCTCAGTCATCTCATAGCTGCGCCTGTTGGCAAAGTACTCAAAATTATCATCAGGTATCTTCTGTTTGCTTACGACTGTGCTCTGAGCTCCAAAACACAAGAGAACACCTCTTTGCCAACATCAGCTTACCTGTTTCTCCAGCACCTGTGGTAACTTTGGACTGACATTAAATACCAAAAGAGATGAAAATAATGTTGTAACCACCTCTCGGAGAGCTTCGTATAAAATTTGCATAAGTGTACCTCTCCAGATCCTGCGGTCTCATATTTTGCTCATGTCAGAGAGAGTCAAATGCTGTAGAAAAATTCACCAACTGTGATTGCAGATAGTCTCAAACAGCCAATACAGACACAGAGATCAGTAACGGTTGCTAGAGCCGGTGCAGCGTTCAGACGACTGGAAGGAAAAACATCTGAGAGCACAGAGTAGAGACCTCAGTCTGAGCACAAAGCTGAAGGTTTAAGACAGCGCAGTGATTTTTGTCATCGTTCTCCTCCCTGCCAGTTTCATACCTTGCACTTTTTGGCCGTCTACTACACTTTCGTCAAGTTTATAAAGAGATTCAGATATGTACAGGATTGAAGGTTACACAGTTTGTTTTTGAAACAGTGCAGATCTGTTTGCTATGTTGAATAGATCTTAAAACTTTGAACAGTTTGAGTGTTGCTATATTTTGTGACTTTTTATTTTGTGTGCTATGTTTTGAAATGCAGAACTTTGTCCAAAGTTGAGATGCAGAAATAATTCAGTGTCAAACTTCTTCGGAAGCAAGATTCTAAGAAAAGAAACTCCAGTTTGAGACAATTTAAGTGAACAAAATTTGCCTTTAGACTCTAGGTTGCCTTTGCCTTTTTAGATTTTGTTTAACATTTGGCACCTTCGATGTTTTTTTGTTGTGATTGATTTCCTAGATCTTTTCACTGTGTAAAACGTCCACCTGAAAACAGGCGTTCCACCAGAGGACGGAGAGACACGTTGGGCCGGCAAGAGAGGACGAGTCACTGGAGAGCCTGTCATGAAGCCGGAAGACGTGGTCACTCAGCAGACCTAAAATCAAGACTGGCCTGAGTTGGATTTCCAGCTGAGACTGCCACAGTTCCCCTTCCCCACCCCCTCCCTTGCAGAAGTTGGAAGTACTGGGCCTCATCGTGGCGCAAGGGTGAACACCCTGTTCAAACCACAATACACATGTCATGCTGAAACTGGAGCAGACTGTGTGGAGAGGTTTGAGCTGGGTGGCCAACACAGTACTACACTCACCAGTGTGAAGGATGAATGGAGAGTCTATAGGCAAGTGTGTAAAATGTGAGCTGTTGGATGTAGTTTGTTAGTGTGTTGAATGAAATCCAAACTTGAACCTCTTGCGTTTTAAGAAAAATTAGTTATGTATTTCTTGTAAATAAATTGTTAAATCTAAGTTTTGACTACTACCACAACTAATATTATCTTTTATGTCATGTATATTGGGGCTGGAAGTGTAACACTACAGGATTTTAACGCTGTCCTCTGTTTAATTCCCCTGACTGCCCAATAGCAAGGGAAATGACTCTACACGACTAGGTGAAGGACGATATCATAATGAGTTATTTCCCTTTGTACAAACTGATGAGATGGCCTGGGTTTTTAAAAATATATATAAGTGTGTATTTCTTGTAAGTAAATCTTTTGATCTAAGTTGTGACTTTGTATTCTAGCTGACACTGCCCTGTGCTGTGCTATCTTCAAACTTGGTCATAAATGAGACTTTCTTGTGGTGGTAGAGACTAAACCTGTAGGCTACTAGAAAAAAATTAACAAAGTTAAATAATTGATTTATGTTTTTAAAAATTTATTTATGTATTATTTGTCTTATAAATACTTTTGTATTGGCTATTCCGTATCACACCTTCTGCATGAGTATCAAGGTACCAGACCTGCCAAGTGGTGTGATAAAATTGGGAATCTCCAACTGGCCCAAAATTCTTTGTTATAATAGAGGCACAAATCTCTACACAAAGTGACAAAGTCGGTTACACAGATAAAATTGGAACCCTCTACATTTTTTTCCCCAGGAAGAATCCTGAACGGATTTGAACATAATTTGATTTTTTTAATTTCTTGATAGTCTTTTGTATAATACACTGGAACTCGGTTTCAACGAGATGAGATAGATTCCCCGTTTTTATTTTTCTTTAAAATCAATTTAAAAAATAACCCGGATTCAACGAGCACTTCAATCAGCGAGCTCGGATTCAACGAGGTCGCTTCCAGGGTGAACAGCCCCCACAGACGTGGCTTTGCTCTTTTTTCTCCCAAAACGAACTTTATCTATTCCCGGAAACCATCCATTGCACCTGCATCGTGAACCATTATACACTTAGCCAATTGCATGCGACCAACCAGCGGCCTTTTTTCATACCAACACATGCGTTGTTGGCACGCGCACGTGTCTACTCTGGTGTGTGTCTGGGTTGGATGGGCGGCCTGCACACGTGTGGCTGTGTGTGCGTGTCGGGGAGGGCACTAGCGGTCCGGGCGTTGAACGTCGCAGATCTCTATACAGATACAAACACGTCACAGTCTTTCTTTTTTCTCTAGGCAGCTGATTATGTTACAATGATAAGCTAGCCTAGTCTTGACGTAGATCTGCGTAATGAATTGTGCGCTGGTCTATGGAATCAAAAGTTGCCGTATGCTAGGCTCTTCGCAACAACAAAACTTTTTGGTAGACAAACGAGATGACACAGGCGTGTGCATTTAAACGAATCGGGTCTTTTTTTTTTTTTTTTGCACAGCTCACAATGTGCAGGCATTTCATGCACTGGTGACTACTTGTGACTTCTCTTTATACATTACTTGCTCAGTGCCTGTAATTATCTACACAAAACCCTCATGTTTGCTAACGAACACTCGGATTCAACGAGGTTTTAGGCCAGGCCCAGCGACCTCGTTGAATCCGAGTTCTACTGTATATATGCAATTTGTGGTAAATTACATAAATTCACCACTTATCGTAAATGAATCTAAAATACACATTTTCCTATAAGGAATTCAGTCAGCTCAACCGTCAAAGGGACAGATGAATTGTGGATCTTTTAAAGGCTCCTAGCTGGGACGTGTCAGGTCCAGATCTGTGAGGTACAAGACTGCTGGTCCACAGATGTTCTGTGCAGTCTTTCTTTCTTCTCAAGTGCTGTGAGGGGAGGAGGGCGGCCGCTCTGGTAGTTCCGTTGGTCATGCTGGACTGTAAAGTAGTTCTGTTGGTATCATTGTGGACAAGAAAGTAGATGGCCCTGATTCAAGTACCGGGCTTGGCCTTCATGAACTCTGGTATTTTGGTGGAGTTTTCAGAGGTCCCACCCCTTAAATAGCCTTATAGTGTTGATAAGGGCATTGAACCCATACAACAACGTGATAAGGAAAAGATTTGAAACTATCCTGACTTTCCTCCATGTCACTGACATCGACAACTTTGTTCACAGGGAAGAGGAAGGCAGCAACCCCCTCCTTTAGATCTGTCCCTTCCTCAACAAACTTGCGGAAACTTTCACCTCCAATGTCTACCCCCAACATCAACATGGCTGTCGACAAAGGCACATTGGCGTGGAGTGGCAGTCTCAAGTCTCAGCTACCCAGTGTACTGCCCAGACAAGCCAGGCAAGTTTGGTGTCAAGATAATTCCAGCTCTGTGGCTTCAGCAATGCCCACTGCACACTTGCCAAGTACTCTGATAAAATTGGAGCCCTTCGATATTTTTTTCATAATCTGTTCTTGAACCTCAAGTGGATTTACACAAATGAGGGTTTTTTTTAAAATAAATAAATTGAAGTCCATTCCCATCAGTTATGCGCAGCTTATTGTAAATGACAAGAAATTACGTTGGGTTTTTTTGCAATATTTGTCTGACTTACTGTAATGAAGTGAAAATACATGTTTTTATCTGTGTGTATTTACTACACTATTCTATAGTGGTTTATTTGCTACTTACGGTATGTAATGTGATCTACCGCGGTTCTGGAGACTCCATTTTTTCCTTGTTTCCTTGACACATGACAACAATCCAGCAGACAGGGATCATCCAGCAACAGACTTGCTTACACTTACAGATTTAACAACAAAGGACAATGCTGATGACAAGGAAAATGAAACTGATTCCTCGGACAGAGCGGTGTTGACACAAGAAATGTTTTTTGCTTTAAAGTGCACTTCATCTGTACCTGCAATAGAAATGTCGACTGTTGTGACCCCAGCACGTCACTGACTTCAGCACTTGACAGCCATGGAAGATGTAATGGTGATGAGCTGATGGACAACTTAACAGACAACGATTTTAAACTTCTATCAACAAAAGTGGCGACATCTATGAGGACAGGAGATAGCTGGGAGACGCGGGCCCGGGGACTCTCTTGAACTCATCATATAGCTCAAGCTACTAGTAGTAACTACTGAGTTCCATCTAGTTGTGGAAACCTCTCTCCAACAAAAGCAAAAGACATTTTAATGGGCCTACGGCAGTCCTAAGCCTGCAAACCAACTCCAGTTGGGAACTCAGAAGGGAATGTTTTTTTTAATAACCCACCCCCACCCCAAAAGAAAAAAAAACAACTTCAACGTAAGTGGTCGGTGGGTGCTCTGGTGTGGTTTGTGCCTTCTTTCCTGTTAAACTTCTATTGTCCTTATAATAATATAATCTCTCCTATTCTTTGTATGTTACTCTCTCCGGTACTTACTTTCACTTTTTCTGCCCTCTTATGCCACAAGGTGTCGAGGGGAGGTCAATTGTTGGATTTATGCTAGGTGTTTTGATCGTCATGCTGTTCCTTTGGAGTGTCTCTTTGACTTCGTTGATCCATCTTTTTCTTTTGCCATGAAGTTGAAGCCATCGAATGACAGTGGGTAGTTGACGGGTGCTCTGGTGTGCTTTGCTTCTTCTTTCCTATCAAACATCTATCCTCTTTATCTCCACTCCTTCTTTTTTGTGTTTGTTACTCTCTTGTAACACCTCTAACTCACTAACTACGGATCCCATCACAGGTACAGGTCGGGCGGTCGGTTCGCAGGTACGGATCTCGTGCGTACCCCCGACGGGATGGACTTTGCGGTTTTGTTCCGTATCTTGTGCTCCCGTCAAATGAACGGGAATGGACTCCAGTGCTAGTTTTACCTCTTGTTTTGTTTCGTGCCGAGTTTGGCGGAAGTTTCGTGGTAACTTTTTAAGCAATTGAAGGTGAAGGAGTCACCTCATCTGGGGTTGACCTGACCGGAACTCGCGCTATGTTTTTTCTAGTGGTGTGCGAGTAAGCAAAAAATCTTGGTCGAGTAATGATCGGTTAAAAGCAAAATTGTTCGGTTAACCGATGAAATTGACCGAAAAAATTTCCTCGGCCAAGAAATCTAGATCGAGCAGGGGTCAAAAGTCATCGCAGCTGCGCTGTAGGCCCTAGCACGCATTTTTCAGCTGATGTCTGGATCTCAAAATAGCTTTTGGTCTTCATCGCTTGGCGCTGTATAAAAATAAGAGTCAAGTAGATCTAGATGTAGAAGATGCGTGCAAAGTTAGTTAATTTGTTTAACATGTATTTTTATTGCTCCTTTCGGGAAGATTGAAGAATACCGGACCACTCGTATTATTGCGAGAGAATGGGGGGCTGAGGAAGGGATGGGGGGGGGGGGGGGGGGTGTCTAAGCTAGGCCTACCGGTGTGAGAGAGATTAAAAAGTGATAAAAACTGGGGGGAAATCATGAATTCCTAAGGTTGTCGAGACATAGGCAAAAGTTGTCCTTATCTGCTGGTCCGGTTGGTCTATTCTTCAATCTCACCTCCTTTTTTGTTTGTTTCTTCGCTGTTTCCAGCCCAGATCGAGCATATTTTATGAATAGGTTAGGCTAATTCATTGTGCTGGTATTTATTCAAAGTGTTTTTCAAGAAAAGTAAAGATCTAGACACAGGAACAAAAATCTGCACAGTAATACAGAATAACAAGTTGCAGATCAAAGTCGAAGCGTTGAAATTAAGTAAAAAGAGGAAAGCATCCAAATTACTAAGATTGAGAATGTGAACAAGTCTAGATCTCTAGATCGGACAAAATCTTCTGGCTTAAGAGGTCAGACAGAATGAGAGCAGATAGAAATGAAGAGGAACTGAAATAAAGACTTGGTTTGTATAGATGCCAGTGGGTCACTGGTTTGCATGATATAAATCAGCTGATCGGACCAAGTAAAAAAACCAACAACTATACTAGATCTAGCCTACAGACGATGTGTCTCAAGGTCATGTATGCCCAGATGTAGATCTAGTAAGCCTACGATTCTGCT